CTAACACTATTACTTGCAAACACCTTTCAACTAAAGGTATATTTCCACCAGAAATGGGCTTCACACATAGTACCCATGTGGGGATTCGAACCCGGGTCTTCTGCGTGACGAGCCAACGCTTTAACCATTAGGCTACCCCACCGCCCCTCAAGAGACACACTATTTTTAGTTCGTTATAGCCGTAGTTTGGAACATGCATTTTGACTAATATATACAGGAAGTGACAGGCACCAAACAACAGTTCGTAATAAGCGTGTTCGTCACAACCGTAGTTTACTGTAGATAGTTTTCTTTATATCTCATAAGTGTGGCAATTCGGGCGATATGATAATGTTGTGATAATTATGCGCTGATCAAGTGGGTACGATTCCTCAAATGGGTACAATATGTGGAACCACATTTTGGTGTCCCCGGCTGTGATGGTGTTGGAATATTGCTAAAAACGGCGTGATCCTTTTATTTCATAAAGTGAAGTATATAAGTCGGTTATGAATGCAACTCCCTCTCATTACATTTAGCAGCAAATTTGGTGCACTCGAATTGCAAGTCAGTTTACACAAGATGTTTCCTGACATAACAGTCAGATAGCACAACTACATATATAGATAAGGGCGAGAATTTATGGAGGTGAGCTTCTTAATTTGAGGAAGACGACTATTCTGAATCTATTCTTACTCCTTCATCAGGTGAATGTGAAACAACAACAATGATTACAGTTAATTGGAGCTAAACATTGCCATGGCTCGCAACACCATCAAACATCTCTGGGACTATCTTTTGAGCTGGAGATCCTCCTGTTTAAAGTTGGCAGAAATTTACGCATGTAGTCCACGACAGAAGAATCCGATTCTGAGAATTCGACGCTTGAATGCCGGGAGAGCTGGCAGATGCTACCCGTCCGAATGGTATCTGACCGCCTCCGTGGTGAAGTGGTTAGAGCGTCCGCCCGGGAAGCAGAAGGTCGCGGGTTCCATCCCGGACGCGTCATTCCAAGACGACGTTAAAATATGGTACTTGCTGGTCCCTGCCTTGTGCTCGGCATTAATGGGTACAACAAGGACTGGTCTGCTCGGAGTCAGTTTAATGTGTCTGAGTAGGGTATTCATGCTTAACTGCGGCATGGTATCTCAGTGAGCTAGCACTCTAAAACCAGGGCTAGTACAAGCAGCCACACATACACATGCACACGCATGCACGTCGTCATATGAGCGAAATATTCTCAAGCACGACATTAAACCCCATTTCACCTCACTTCACCGAAGGGGCGGTGGGGTAGCCTAAAGGTTAAAGCGTTGGCTCGTCACGCCGAAGACCTGAGTTCAATTCCCCACAATGTGTGAAGTCCATTTCTGGTGTACCCCGCCGTGATATTGCTGGAATATTGCTAACAGCGGCGTAAAACCATACTCATTCACTTCACCGAAGGGTGTCTACACAAGGCACTGATGTGGTTGCCAGTGGCAGTTCATACAATCATAACAATCATTATTTGAGAACTGTGTGACAATCATATTTTTGGCGCAGTGATGATGATCCTACGTTAAGGTATTGGGTATTCCGCAAGTAATTGCAAGTTAATTGATTGCAAGTAAATTGTTACCAAATTTCTATTTCATATTTTGGGGGTTGAAGCATAGTAAAATATAATACGGCTACCGTTTTAACATGCGAAATTCCGTTTTCAAAGCGAGCACAACAGAGGGTTGTGTTTTCCTACTGATATAAAAATGATCAATGTGTACATTCGCGTATTGGGAGCCTCTAACCTGCAACGAGAGTTGTTTTTTTCAGTAAATAGACGTGTGAATAGAGGATTGGCAAGGCAAACTGACAAGGTAAACACGATGTTTGTTACCTGCAGTCACAACCAAAACACCTTTCAAAACATCCACGTCTTGTGTGCAACTGTAACTGAAACTTACATTTAGAATGCAGATCGAAATCCTGCTTCTGCTGTAGCTGTGACGTCATAGTGGAGAGACGTGCGCGATTTTTCTTTGTTTTCCTTCCCTATTGTATTCATCTACATGAAAATGAAGTAATTTTGCATTGTTCTTGAGCATGTCCTGCTTGACTGTATTAATTGTGTTCATCACAAGGGATAAATATTTCAATGTGAAAACAGTTAAGGACCTTTTTACTTGTGTTTTTTTATGTTTTGTAATTAGATAAATGTTTTATGATTGGTAATTTAACTGATATTGTTAGTGGCTGTATCCTCGAAGGGGGTTAAAGTCCTGTAAAATTATTGTCCTCTTGAGAGGGTACGTAAGTCCCAAAACTTTTAAAGTCAATTTAGCTCTACCAAATTTCGTAATCGTAGAATATTTGTTGTGTTATAATGGTTAAATATCAGAACAATCGCCAGTGGCTGCAGGATGGTGTAAATCCAACTAGATGTACTCGTGTGTATATCGTGAATGGCCAGTACGACATCGTCTTATAATGACCTCCTCAAATCTGGACTGACAACCCAAGTATTTCATGTAATTTATTGATACCTACTTGAGTGTCCCACTTCTTCTGCATCAGATCACGGATATAAGATCTTATGGTAACTTTGCACGAGTTTGACCATCACCTCTTGTTTTCTCAACACTGAATTGTTCATCAGTTTGTAGAGGTTTTTCTCGAAATCGCTGGTGGCCTTTTTCGCAGCTCGGTGCAGCAAATGTCGACAGCCAAGTTTCCCCCACACGTTCTGGGCGTGGTCGTAATCGTCCTGGGAGATGGTGGAGTTGGTTAAGGCGCTGTAAAAGCAGTCGATGGGGGGTAGTTGGGTCTCGTCGAACTTAGACCAATCGTCCATATACTCGTACGGGTACACGCCCTATTTGAGCAGCAGAGGTAGAGTCGCCGCATCGGTGTATCGATCGGTGATGGCGAAGGTATCGTTGGCTTTGACCAAACTATCGAGCGATGACAGGAGGAAGTGAGCACTATAGAAAAGTCTCAGACCGTTGAGCAAGAACTAGATGTATTTTTCCGTGTTGTTGGGGATGCACGTTAACTTGCCCTCGATGTTCGAGATGGACTGCATGATCAAGTGAGCATCGTACCCTCTCAAATTGTGAAACACCACGGGGATGGGGATGGTTTGGGGATCGATTCTAAGCTGGAGGTTGCACGCGTTATGGGCGGCGCATCGGACGACCACGTACCCGAACCCGCAGACTTGGTGTTCTTGCGTTTTGTACGTTCTGTGTCTATATAAATGATATACTGTATAATACTTGCAAATGTATGAGATGCACATTTGTTCACTTTCCAGCACACTGTATATATCCGGTAATATCCTCTCTCTCTCTCTCTCTCTCTCTCTCTCTCTCTCTCTCTCTCTCTCTCTCTCTCTCTCTCTCTCTCTCTCTCTCTCTCTCAAATGGATCACAGGAATATTCAAGCGTTCCTTTAATGTTTTCCAGTTTTCCTCACCAGCTTTGAATAGCGCTGTGCTCATGTTAACTGGAAAATAATAAAGGAACGCTTGAATTTTCCTGTGATCCTTTATTTGTTTCTCTCAGTATATATCAACACTGTATATGTTGGACAATAAAATATGTTTAAACTAAACACATGGAATACCGATTCCAGCTGACTTAGTTGGCTTGGTGATCACCCCTGTAGGTGTTGTGACAACACTGACGTATTTCATGCAGTCGCAGTTCACACTTTGCCTACTTCAGCCTCCCCCAATCATTCACCTGTCTCTAGTTCCGTACATGGAAACCACGCCAGCGGTTGAAGGGATGGTCATGTAAATCGAACAAGGGGCTATGCGGGTGGTAAAGGCACTATAAGTCCCCATGGCCCCTTGTGTGGTGATCTACCTTCAGTTGCTGGCTATCTACATTCCGTTTTTCATAGTATATTGTTCTAGTTAATGATATCTTTTTATTATGACATGCTAGTTGTAGCTTAATATCTGTGATATATCAAGTAAATTTACTGTCCATCGACGACAGGTTTTAATCTTGAAAATGTATTCATCAACCGACATTGTAACTATATATACAAACAGGGCTCAGGAGGGACAACAGTAAAATACATCATCACCATCATCATCATCATCATCATCATCATCATCATCATCATCATAACATTTATATAGCGCCAATTCCGGTCCAAAAGTACTGCTCAGTAGCGTTCTCCGAACAACTCAAGAATAAAAAGTTAGACACTGTATGTTTTCTTAAAAAATATGTCTTCGCTTTAGATTTGAAACTCTTCAGGTTGTCAATTGCCCTTAACTCCAAGGGAAGATGATTCCAGGGAGTTTGTCCTTCCACCTGAAATGATCTATCCTCAAACCTGGTACTGGACTTAAAGTGTGGGGCAACAAGAAGACCAAGATTTTCAGATCGGAGACTTTGGTTGGGCTGATATCTGGTGATCAGGTCAGATAGATACTTCGGAGCTAGGTTATTGAGACACTTGAAAACAAAAAGGTTGAGTTTGTATTGGATTCTGTCTGATATGGGAAGCCAGTGTAATCTCTGCAGAACAGGAGTTATGTGAGAGTATTTCTGTGATCTGAAGACCAGTCCAGTCTTCGGTTATAGCAAAGTGAAAGGGAGCACTGATTTGAGCTCTAATAACCGTAGTTCGTTATATTTTTGATATGCCATTCGATTAAAACATACAACATGTGTCCGGAACAAGAAAAACGCCGTTCGTAACATCCGTTAGTTCGTTATAAGCGTGTTGGTTGTAAAGGTGGTTTACTGTATATGTTCGTGGGTGATCCACAGGATGCTGTGGCAGGAGTTGACTTGGATATGATCTGATGAAGCTGACTCATAGGCGGATCCAGAGAGGTGGGGGTGGTCTTTTTCTTTTTTTTAATGACAGCATCCCAGTTCTCACCTGCATCGCCTTCTCTAATTGGCTGACAGTCGTGATAGGAGCTATATTTCTTTCACCTTTGGTGACGGGTGTGTCACTTGTGAAGGCAACACGTGGAAGAGTACACTAGATCGATCGACAGTGGTCAGTTTACAAGCATGGAGGTAAGTGGAATAATATTTTTGGGATTTGTATCATGTTTTCTAAACTACTGTTTGAAAATTCCGGTGCGTTGTATCCACAAGGAGTGTCATTTGAGTATATGGTTAAGGTTAGGCGTGTATTCGCGTTCAATGCATTATGTTCTTTTGAGAGACATACATGCTGAGGTCACAAGAATGTAAAATACATTGCACACTCATTTGGGTACATGGCTCAGTTTCTGGGTTTTAGTAAGTTAAAGGATAATTTGCGCAGCTGAAACGCACTTGGCACAGAAATTTGGTAGATTTTGACATGAAGGAATAAATCGCACATTCATGGCACAATCTTTTAAGGGATGCATTGTTCAGCCAATGGAGTGAGAATGGTTTTACCCCGCTTTTAGCAATATCCTAGCAATATCACGGCGGAGGACACTTTAGAAATGGGCTTCACGCATTGTACCCATCGCAATCAAGGAATAAATCGCACATTCATGAAGGAACATGACACAATCTTTGGGCATTGCACAGTTAAGGGATGCAAGTTCAGTCAATGGGCTAGGTGCAAGTTCAAAAGGCATATTCATTTGGTTGGTGTACAGTGGAGAAATGAACTGCACTCATGTGGGTACATGACATAGACTTGGGTATTGCCCAGTGAAAGGATGCATAGCACAGCCATTGAGGTTTGTGTACCGTCATCGGAGTAAAAGAGAACATGGGGCAGACATCAACAGAAGCATTGCTCAGACAATGGATGCATAGTTAAGTATAGGGGATGGTGCATGCGTAAAAGAAGCACAGTGCAGTCATCAGTGGGTGGGTGTTCAATCAGTGAGTATGTGTACAGTCAGTGGGGATATGTACAGAAAGTTTGGTTTCTGTTCAGTCAGTGGGGTATCTGTACAGTTCAAGGGTCTGTTTATTCAGGGTACATTTATTGGGCAATGGAAAAGTGTTTGAGAATTGTACAAAGTGAACAAGAAAGAAATGTACAGTCACGGTCAAATCTTTGAAGGGCATTTGGAAGTGGAAGACATAAGAAAAGCAAGATTTTTGGATGTCAACACTTCTTTATTGCGAATAACACGACCTTTCGGAGTGTATGCTTGCTCCTTCATCAAGTGACAGCTAGGGAGCATAAGGGGGATATATATATATATATATATATATATATATATATATATATACACACACATGGGCACTTACAAAGTAAACATGTATAACAAGTTTAACAATTGTTGAGGAAAGAATATGTAATAAAAAACATGAGGCCAGTGATACACTAAAACAACATGGTAATAGATTTGATGGGATATAATACAAACACGAGGAGGCCAGTGATTGTACAGTGATTGTACAGAGGGATTGTATCAAACGTGCCAAATATCAAAACAGCTGATATGTGATGGTTTATGCAATGCAAAGAAGCATACTCATTATATTTACACATGAGCATTAGCAAAGCACCATTTGAGTCCAAGGGCAAGTTTCAAGATTGAGGTCAAAAACAGGCGATCATACCCTAAACTTATTGAAATGGAGATGTACAGGAGGTGCTACACACAGTGTCTCAACGACGACAGTGAATAAATATTGACTTTTTTGACGTGTCGAGACGTAGACTTTCAGAAAATGCATGGTGGCAAGTTATTAGTATGCATGACGCAAGGATGTCCTTTAGCAACTTGAACACGGTTACTAGTCGAATTGTGAGGAAGCACGCGGCCACCGATGAAGTAAAGGATCGCCCAAGTCCTGGAAGGCAGAGGATGACCAATGGTTGTGATGAGCGAGTCCCAAATCAAATTATCCATGCCGAAAAACTACACTGACAACAGACACTGGGAGTTCAACAAGGCTAAAGGCTGCTGGTCTCAGGGAACGTCGTCAGATTGGACGTCCCTTCATCACAAAGGCACTGGTAGGAACGTCTAATGTGGCGCACTCTCTATGACAACTTACACTTGAGTATGGTTAACTGGCCGGATAAACGTCGCTATCTACTACACGTTACCGACGGCCAAAGACGCGTGTGGAGACGTTGTAACGAGTTGTATCACCAGGATGGTCCAGTAGCCGTTGTAGGTTTGAACATTACCATAGCCTTCAAGGAGCCCCGATATCAATGCCATCGAACATCTTTGGGCTATCTTGGACGCCAAGTTAGAGCAAGAGAACTTCTGTTCATACAATTATTTGAGAAATGCGTAACAATAATATTTGTGGCGTAGTCATGGTGGCCATACTTCCGGCATTGTTGATAAGGTTCACTCCCATAATGACTACTCCCAATTTGACTCACCGTCCAATACACAATCTGTCCCAGGTTCATACAATATTTATTCAGCTAATTACATAACAATGTATACTAAGTCTTCAACAATAGGTATTCATGTTTTCATGAACTTCAAGAACTTCAAACCAACTGTCTGACAAACAGATCTGTGGCGTAGTCATGGTGACCACAATTCCGGTATTGTTTTTATTTTTTTTTTTTTTTTTTAAAATATAAAGTCTTCCATCATAACATTCGTTACATAATGACACATACAAATACATGAATATAATCATCCAATATATCAGGCTGTGACACAGTTAAACCTCCGATATATAATGGTGTATAGGGTGTTGTGTGTAGTGCCACATCCAACATATCATGTTTTATCAACGTGCACAGCATGCTGTATTCAGTGTTGTATATGGCCTCATATCAGACATAGCATGTTGTATATGGGTCACAACCAACATATGTTGTATATTGCGCAACTTCCAAAATAAGTTGTATATAATGTCATATCTGATATATCATAAGTATATAGTATTACATCCCATATGTCATGTTGTAAATAGCATCATATATGAACATATCATATTGTTTATAGCACCACATCTGACATATCAAGCTGTATATTGTGTCACATCCAACATATCATGTTGTATATTGCATAGACATTCAACATATTTTGTTGTATACGGCGCCACATCTGACATACCACGTTGTATATAGCGCCACATCTGACATATCATACTGTATATAGTGCAACATCCGACATAGCATATTGTATACAGTGTCACGGCCAATCTATCGTGTTGTACATAGTGTATTATCTGATATACATTGTAAATATGTCTTATCTAACACATGTTGTATATAGTGCCACAATTATTCTGACATGTCATGCTGTGTCTTGTGTCACATCCAATGTGTTGTGTTATATATTGCGCAACATCCGGCTTATTGTGTTGTATATTGTGTCTTATATCCAACCTATAATATGTGTTCCCAAAGTTACACCAGTGCCATTAACTAACTAGTCAATATATAACTAAAACAAAGATAATTTTTCAAAAGGGGAAACAGATCAAGATTTTACAAAAGAAGCGGTTGCTGCATACACAGGTCAGGTTTGAATACTGGGATAATGGATGCCATTTATTAGCAAATGTCTTCATTTTATTCTTCCTTTTGGCAATTAAGCTTTCAACAGAAAAAATATCTTTTAAAGTCTTTATAAAGTTATCGCATTTTGGAATGTTGTTTTTCAAAGAAGAGACATAGATCTGTCTTTTTGCTGAAATGATTATATGATTAAGTAATGGGTTTTACTTAAGGAGCCAAAATACACCAAATATTTTGTCAAATTGACTTTTTGTATCAAATAAGTGTTAATCCAAATTTGAAGATCCTTCCAAAACTTCTTAGTTTCACTACATTCCCAGTAAACATGGCACAAGTTTTCATCTTCATCTTTACAAAAGCTGCATGAGGCGCTCTGGATAAGGTTCATTTTTAAAAGTTCCTTTTTGGTATAGATAATACCGTGTAAAACTTTATATTGGAACTCTAAGAGTTTTACATCATTAATGTCTTGTCTGTAAGACTTAAAAATCATTGGCCAATCAAAGTCAGTATCTTCAAACACATTCTCCCTTTTATGATCAGATCTGTGGCGTAGTCATTGTGACCACAATTCCAGTATTGTTGATAATAACGTGTTTGTGTATTCCTCTCTGCATGTAAATTGCGACTGAATGTGAGGTTCAGCTGCCATTTTGCTAAGCTGAATTTTGGTTTTCATACACAACACTATGTAGTGTGTTTCTAATTTAAATTATCATGTAAAATGGCCGTAGTGCTTGATTAATGCTCATGTGCACATTGGCTTGTGTGAGTCCACGTTGAAATCCCAGCTTCGGTCGAGCCATGATTTTCCATTATTTGTAATGCATGGTAGACGCGAAATGGAATAATGCGTTGCTTGGAAGTAGTCCAGGGGTCATCTTTAAAGACCAATTTCTTACAAATTCAACTTAAGATATATATATATATATAAAACAAGAAATATATATATACAATAAAATGGCCCTCAAAGGTTTCCGTACTTGTGAAAAACGGTAAATTGCCGCTGAATTGTGTGCTTACAAATATGTTAAAGGACCAATTGCTTTCTCCACAGCTTCCTCTAGACTTGAGTGTCAGAAAGACTACCATCGATGACGTAACGCCCGGCGACGACACTGGCATATCGACCAGTGGCGACCCCCCACCGCCTTACATCGACGGCACTGGCTTCATCGCGCACGACGTCAGCATCCCTTCTGTTACCAGGCACGATGGGGAAGTTAGCATGTCTCTCCTTGATGCCCATATATGGGAAGCATTCAGCCATAATGGAACAGAAATGATCATCAATAAGACTGGCAGGTAAAGCTTTCCATGGGATGAAACATACCCACACATACATGCCTTTGTCTTTTCATCCTTTATTTAGATTTATTACTATCATTGTTAAAACTGTGTATTGGTACATAAATTGTATTGCAATGTATTACGATTCTGGTTATATTGCGATAGGTGTTGTGATATGTTAGGAGCTGAAGTGTTTGACGGTGAGTGACTGATTGTACATAGTCTGTTCCTACATACTCATGACAGGGGTGTGAAACCACAATCAATGTTCTTTATGTGCCGAAAGGGAAATCTGAACAGCGAAATTCGGCTCGATTTGACTCTGCAGCCTTGAGTCTGGAATCAGCAGTGACTTATATAGTACATAAGATGCATAGTCAGTGGTAAAAGTCAACTTAGATCATATTCTGGTTTCTTGTATGGGATTTTTGTAAAAGCAAGAAACTCCTTTACTCTTTCAAGATCATATTCTGGTTTCTTGTATTGGGATTTTGTAAAAGCAAGAAACTCCTTTACTCTTTCAAGATCATATTCTGGTTTCTTGTATTGGGATTTTTTAAAAGCAAGAAACTCCTTTACTCTTTCAAGATCATGTTCTTGGTTCTTGTATTGGGGTTTTGTAAAACATGAAACTCTTTTACCCTTTGAAGATTATGTTCTGGTTTCTTATACTGGGATTTTTAAAATCATGAAACTCCTTTACTCTTTGAAACGGCGTGAGATGCTGTTCAAAGTGGCGTTGAACCTCAATGTTGAACAAACATTATGAATAACGGGTTCTTTTATGACCTGACTGCGACAAGGGTACTAGGATCTGTATTGAAACATTTCTTGAAACATTCGGCACTATAACCATTTACCATTTACCGTTAACTACACTAAAGGTGAAACTAAAAAAATGTCATTAAATGGCGTTAAGACTTGATCTTATAATATACTGGACAAAATAATGTAAGGATATTGGTATTTTTATGATTGCTATTTTATCAGTGTGGCAATGAATAAATAGATCATTATTCAGAATTTCAAAATTTACATATATCCCTAACTATTTTTGTCCAGTATATTTCTCTACATATACCATATAAGCTTCCATGCTGAATATTAGCAATCACGTGATCTGTTTAGACGAATGTTCCCACACGTGACAATCTCTGCTTCCGGTTTAACTCCATCCGGGCTCTACAACGTCTGGCTTGAAATTCTGCCTGCAGACGGGAGAAGGTTTCAGTACGTACAAAACAAGTGGCTCCCCGTCAGCCCTGCTGACCCCTGCAAAGCCTTCCCTCCTACCTCCACCTGGACTCGCCAAACACAGGGGCGTTCTGGATACAAAAGAAAATCTCCTTTGCACGCCTTAAACTCACGAACAACCGAGATTCTGCAGTTGGAAATGTAAGTAGATGTTTCACGAGCAAACATTAAATTACATTAATATTTGTATGTTGGTGTAAAGATGTTTTAGTACTACTACAACGGGCCAGGGAGAACCCGTGAAGAACCAGGTTGGAACTGATCTTCAGCAAACCATGCTTGTCGTGAGAGGCTCGCTGACTTGTTTGATGCAGGTCATCACTGGCTTTAACGTACATGTTATTTTTGTAATATATCGTGTATTTGATATATCATCAAATAAGATCTTATTGGTCATGTATGCACAGGTAATGCTGCAGTCCATGCACAAATACAAGGTCCAGATTCTCATCAGAGAGACGGGGAAGGACATCAACGTCATACCGCCCAAAACGTTCACGTTCCCAGAGACCACGTTCATGGCCGTCACGGCATATCAGAACAGCCTCATCACAAAGCTGAAGATTCACAACAACCCTTTCGCGAAAGCCTTCAGGGACAAGCACATTAGAAAGTAAAATATTTGTTACGCCGCAGTCTGTGTTCTTCCAGTGTTAGTTGATTTGTCAGTACCATATCTGTGCTCATGGGTTTCATCAAAGAGGTAAATGCTAAATCCTGGACGTTAAGACATTCCTTCCCACATTAAAATGTTGCAAGCGCTTCTCACTCACTAACGCCACCACCAATTTACCGATTACATGTCAATTGTATGAAGAAAGATTCTGAATCACGAACTGGCTGCTTCCTTCTAGAATTCAGCTCGTGACTGACCTGACTCTGATTCAGACTTTATCTATATTTTTCAGAAACTACCAGAAACAATCTTGTGTCTCTACAAGATCCTTTCCTGCCGGTAAGTGCAGAACTCCTCAATTGTGTTGATAAATATATGTGAAAGTTTACGGATGTCACAAACAATTTCAATCTTTGGCTTTCGTTATATGTTTCAAAGTAAACTGCCCGGCAAACGAAACTGATGGTTATTCTGTTGTGATCCACTTGATATGGGTGTCATACTTGGGGTTGGTTCTTGATTGATTGTTGTTTAACGCCGCACTAAGTAATATTCCAGCTATATGGCGACAGTAAATAATCGAGTCGGAGCCAAACCATCCAGTGATCAACATCATGAACATCGATCTACGCAATTGGGATACGTTGACGTGTCAACCAAGCCAGCGAGTCTGGCCATCTGATCCTGTTAGTCGTTAGTCGCCTCTAACGACAAGCATGGGTTGCTGTGGATCATTTCTAACCCGGATCTTCACGGGTTGCGGTTTAGACCTTAAGTCGACATTGTTTAGGCAACTGTTTTCAGTACAATAACGTTTGGATAACATTTTTTGTAATTTTGGGCAAATCTAGCTTTCAAGTGTACACCTTTTACTCGGTTGTTTACATGGAATGTCAGCCTCGAGTGTCTCACAGTCCCCATGGGCAATATGATTTTCCTTTTCCCCTAGCCTTACTATAATGCTATGTCCTCACAGAAAGCAAGTTCAGATTTTCCTCAGGTTAAGATCATCTAATTTGGGCTTCTCTATCAAATTATAGTTGAATGGTTTTATCAAAGACATATCATCTTAAAGACTACGTATTAGTCGCAACTTTACGATGTGTATATTTCTAGGGAATCAGGACAGTTCACACAACAACAGGAAGCGGAAGCGTGAGCCATCAGAGGAAGATGCAGCCATTAAAGACCGCGCAGGTCACACAGGAGGGATGAATGCTGTAGGCCAGGCAATGTCAAGGACGAAGATGGATCTAGCTACCGACTATGGGTGGGATATGATGCGTGAGTGACTCTTTTCCCAGATATTTGGCGTGACGAGCGGACGCTTTAACCACCATTCTACCCCTCAGCGCCCATGGCTTGATGGGCTGGAATGTCACGCTCGTGAATCGCTGTCCAAAATGTCAATGGATTTTGGCGCTATTATCTAAAAGCCTTGTCATAATGCGTGAAAGCTACTGAGTGTGGCATGGAACAACAAATTTTATTATTTGTTTCACGCGGTTCCTAATACTTGTTTGAAACGTAGCACTAGAATGAAGTCCTTTAAGTGTAGAAGAAACACGTCCGATTGTTTTTCCTTTCTTTCTTTCGATTTGTTTAATCTTATGCATAAACTGAAATATAAGACTGAAACAAACAGAATCTGTTTTAAACAAAATGTCCACGACCCTACGAAACGAATGCGAAACATCTTGCTGGCTTACGATCACGCTTTTGTACCCTTGGACGTTAGCAATAGATGCTTGTCGAAAGAGGCAATTAACGGTATTGGGTGTTCAAACGTGCCAAATTGGTTGATGCATGACATCGTTTCCCATTGGCGATGCTCATGATTTCCATCACTGGATTGTCTTGTCCAGACTCTGTTCCATTCTTTGAAAAAGTGTGTTTCCCGACTCGGATATTGGACTTCAGAGTAATAGACAAGTAAGGAAATGATATGAGTTCAGGACATATCATTGGTTGTTTATTTATACGACTTGTAGGTGCCATTGTGTTATTTCGAGATCTCTCGTTTTACAGCGTCTGAGCGAGGCAGTCGTCCCATGTGTGATATCGGCCAACATACGGGGTTATCTCCCCTTTACGGACCCTTTCACCACCAGACGTCTCCAGCGGCCGGCGGATTCTGTCCCCTCCCCTCACTGATGTACCCAGCACGTTACTTACTCAGCCCAGAGGTTTTCCTCCCGCACCCCAGCAGCTACTCACTACCCCACCCAGTCAACACGTGTCATCCGCAAAGGTACACTCCGTCAAATCATTATAAAGACTTGTCATAGGATGGAGGGTATTGAGACGGTTGATGATGACGAGATCTCTGTGAATAAGTGTTGAGGGAGATATTTCTGTGCATGTCGTCGATCAAAATGGCGAACTTCGTCGTACGTGAAACAGCATACAGGTGTTCTGAGCGAGTGAGTGAGTGAGGTTAGTTGTACTCGGCATTAGCAATATCCCAGCAACCGTGTCTTCAAGTTGGGTGTGAGCAACAAGCACGTCGCACTCCTTGCATGATGCTTGTGACATCTCCCTGATACTGACGCTATACAAGAGAGGTGAGACAGATACGTGCACGCCACGTGTTAGCTATAGTAGTGCTGGCAACAATTTCGTTATGTTTGCTTCGTGTTAAAATTGTATCTTATTTTATCATTGTATATTATATTACAAATAAACTACAATATCTTTTTAACCTCATATGTTTGTGTTTCGAGAACGATTTTGGTGTTCAACTATGTAGGCTACATTCTACTCCACGTGTGAAATAAAGTCAATTCATCTTTTCGTTGGTTCATTCATGCCTGTTCTAAATACATCCTATCGCATGATAGACTTGACAGACGATTCAAAGACGCTAGACAAGATCTACTTTCTAAGACAAAGACCAAAGAGATTGCCTGCAACAGAATAAAGTTGCAGTAAATATACTGTTTGTAAATGTTGCTTATGATAATTAGAAACAAAATGTAAATGTACAAAGTTGAGAAATTGGACTGTTTACATACCACTTTTAACCCCCTCTACACATGCGGTCTTCTCTCAACATTCTACGGTGCACGAGCTTTCCGTGCATGCGACACGACATTAAAACACAACTGAATTGTTCGCATTATGCGCTCATAAAATATTTACTGATAATTTTGGTCTCTTAAGGTAGATGGATGGACTTCACGTTGCTCCTTTGCACAAAGAATTCTTAGGTTTACAACTCTCAGAAATCCTATACAGTATCGCAGATTAGGATAGTCGCAGTGCTAAAATCGCTTTGTGCAACGGGCTGTGTTTCGCAAAGAATTTTCGCAATACAGCAGGCATACCTTTGTATTAAAGAATAGGATTGAAGACATGATGTATGGATCGACAACTTCTTTGTTACAACGAGGAGTGGTGTATGTAAGTGAGTGTGATGCTGACGATGTGTCTTGTGTTTTATAACTGCCTTCAGACCGTTGTTTGTCACACCGACGTGTCATATAGTCACAGTTTAGCGTCAAGAGGTATCCCGTCCCTACTGATGTCGCGAAAACAGGGCGAGCATCCTAATACGGTTCAGGTTATTTTTGTAAATAATAAATATAGCTCAAGGCATCAGTACGAGTCTCATCCACCCCCTGTGGTTTTAACAAGCAAGACGTTCACACCTTAACAATTAATGCCCTTTCTTTCGATCTGTCGTACTGCTCTATGGTTTGAAAATATCAAGACGTTTCTTCATAACTGATTTCTTGTGACTAAAGCTAAAACAAAGTGTAAGTGTATAAGAATATTTAAAGAGAAATTCAGCAATTAAAATCCTTACCTCTTGTTATATTATACTGGACACTCGTGTGTTTTTGAAAATCCCTCAATTTGTACAACCCAGTGGCTGGTCTCAAAAGTTGAACATATTCTTAAAGATCAATTTACCCCAAACTGGCACAATGACATTAATTCTAGCCCCAAGTGAATTTACTATCAGCACCTGAAGCCATTTCCTAATTTTCCATATCTCCTCCTTCCAAAACGTATTTCTTAACCATTATTGAGATTTAGAACATGTAACCATAGTTTACCTATTGAGATGGGCCATTCCAAGGGACGAGAGAACGTGTCAACTATGCACTTTTAAAAGCATCGCAGATGAATGGCATTATAGTTTTCATTGTAAAGCAATAGATACTTTGAGGAAACAATATTTACCCACCCATCTAACCTCTTTTCCAATGAAACAAACTTCACGAAGTTATCTGTAAAAAACATCTCGAGACATAGTAAATCTATCCAAATTTATCTTGTCAAAAAAGAATGTCAATATGTTGTTTTCTGACATCTTGAATTTGAATTTGTGTTGGTATATATGTTTACAATATATGCTCTTGTACCACCAAGGTGGTTTATGAAAATAAAGAATTGAATTGTTTGAGGCATGTTTAATTGTCTTTCGTGTTTAGAAACCGTACCGCTCTCGGCAATAGTTTAACAAGGATTATTTCTGTAATCAGCTTTATGTTAGAGGACTGTGAACAATCTTGTCTGGACCAGACAATACAGTGATTGAAATCATTTGACAAAGATCTACGTGTGTTTCAGCAAAGTCATGATGCCAGTCACAGGATTGTTTTTTTCCAGAATATTTACAGACAATTGTGAAACAGCTGATGTATCTCAGAGTGCTCCACGACAGAGTAAGGACGATTCTGTTCCCCCTCCTCTTTGTCTGATATGCAAATTAAAAAAAACATTTATTTACTGATTCTTTCAGTTTTGTCACCATGGCTCGAAGAAGAATGATCAGTGAGTCACAGGTTGGGGTTTGGTGTACAGAAATAGAGACAGCTGAATGATGGAGCTGAACTGGGCTAAGTGTGGACTGTGACTGTATAAATACATCAGTGTTATCACAACACCTACATGAATGATCTTCAAGCCAAGAAAGTCAGCTGGAATCGGTGTGTGTGTGAGTATGTATGTACGTGTGAGTGTGTGTGTGTTGAGTGAGTGAGTGTGTCTGTGTGTGTGCGCGCGCGCGTGTGTGTATACATTTGAGATATCAGCCACACCTTCGCTGCTTCTATTACTTCTATAGCCTCACAAGGTGTGTTTAGGTCCAGGTTATTTGTGCATTGTTCTGTAAGCCTTGTGTGTATGAGGAGGGAAGATGTGTAGAAAATAAACTATACGAAATAATATCAAAATATATATATGTAAAATAAATATAAAGATATAACCTCAATAATTTTTTTATCAGTGGAGTCAAAATATTTTAAATTCAAATTCATTTTGAAGGCCAAAGCTTTTATCAGTAGTGACAGAATCTTAAGGTTTAGATCTGTAATGACAGAAAGACATGAGTATCTGTTCTGCGGGGAATTGTGAAAACATCTTTACATCTTTTGTCTTGTTATCTGTTCAATAAGAGAAGTTCATATCATTTCTTGTAAAGGAAGTTATGAATGAGTGAGTGAGTGAACGAGTTTTGTGTGTTGCTGAATGATATAGGAATTATTTGAAATATATTTGTTTTTAAAATGAATACAAATGGCCGCCATTTTGTTTTGTCGTATTCGCCGTCACACTAGAAGTAAAGGGGAAACAAAACATGTTTACGTTACAGCGAAATGTTTCAATAAATACATCACCACCACACGTAGGAGAGACAAGTGTGACAAAATATCAAAAGTGTCAACATTGGATGTAAATTGAAACATTCGGGGTTCATTTTTATGCCGAGAAGGCAAAACACGACAAAACAAAATGGCGGCTATGTTTATTTTTTGTCAAAAACAAAAATATGTCACACAATTTTTATATCTTTTAGCAGCACACAGAGGTAAAAATAAATGTGATCAGATTCATAGTGGCAAAACTATCCATGATGAACTTTCAGGTGTTTTTATGGCAGCAAACCAAATGTAGCGAAACTGCGCGCAGACCCCCACCACATATAATGGTCTGTTATATATTTGCAAAGGCGTTGGATTCGGTTTGTAGAGATAAATTATGGGATATTTTACTTAGACATGGTGTTAGTTGTAAAATAAATGAAATTGTACGTAGTATATCTGAAAATATAAAGATATGTGTCACAATAATAATGATTTGTCAGACACTATTATCAGTAAACTTGAGTCAGGCACAGCTGCATCCTAAGCCCTCTTTTATTTTCCTTTTTCATTAATGAATTGGAGATCCAGGCATTATGAAGTATATAAAAGCACTTGGTGACATATCAGACACCTCTTTTTCAAGATTTTTTATGCTAAAATATGCCCTATATTTTTGTATGGTGCTGAAATCTGGGAAATCAAAGCTTTCAACGTAATAGAAAAAGGTCATTTATATGCTCGTAAGAAATATCTTGGGGTAAACATTAACACATGTAATTCAGCACTAAATGGTGAGTGTGGTAGATTTCCCCTATATTGAAGCAAATATGAAAGTTATTCAATATTGGTTATAACCATTGAGTATGGTTCCAAGCAGATTACCGAAAAATGTTATAATATGAGGATTATTTATGATAGAAATATTTATAAGGAATTGGGCCACAAGCGTAAAAGAATTATTATTTTCTATTGGATTTGGTAATGCATGGTATACACAGCATATAAAATCTCACTCATTATTCCTGTTATCTGTTAAACAACGACTTAAAGATATGTACATGCAATAATGAACAAATGGCAAATGTGTTTATTATATAATGATTAAACAAACTATCCACTAGGAACAGTATCTGTCTGTGTTAAATTTAAGAACATTCAGTCTAAGCCTTGCACAATTCCGCTGTTCATCTCATGATTTGCTAACAGAATCAGGTAGGTATTTAGGCTTAATAAAAGAACATGGGATGTGTAAAATGTGTAATCTTTATGCAATTGAAAACGAGTACGAGTGTCGTTGTATATGTCCAGCCTATTATATGTTGAGATATAAGTATATTAAGAGCTACTACTTTGTACATCCTGACACTTATTAATTCATATCCCTTTAACCAATCCTAGGAAAGTACATTTAGAAAGATTATCTATTATCTGTTATCACATGCAGACAAATATACATTCTTAAAAATTCTACTGACAGATCACTTGTTATTCACTGTATTTGTTCTATAGAACTGTGGCCTACTGAGTACGGAAGTAAATAAATATAAATATATGTATCTCCATTTCAGAAACCGATTTGTAACTATGAAGGTAAGAAACTATATAGAGTAAAATACGGTCATAACAAACTCTTGGGGAGCACTAATTTTAGCACTAATACCCGAAGTTCGTTCTACGCTTTTAAACTAAAATATATACAGCATGTGACAGACAGACAGACAGACAGATAGTTTATTTGAGTCTCACCTC